AATACTGGCTACAAACCGACCAATCTGCATGGCATCCCTGGCTACCTGGGCCCGCCACAGTAAGGAAATTTGAAGTTTTGGCTTTTATAATAGCCCTCATCTGAGCCTTGCAATTAGAAGTGCTGGGCGCAGCACAAACTCTGGGTGCCAACATAGAGGGAATGGCAACAGCAGCTCTTTGAGTGCCCGAGCCAAGTAAGAGTGCACCCCCAGCACTCAGCACCCATCTCCCACCCCCAGTTTTCCAGCAGGGTTTGGCCCAGGTCACAGACCTTACTAGTGACACCTCTGCTTGCTGTCTGCCAGTATTGTGTTTGGCTGTACACAGCACTCATTCCAGTGCCATCACATACGAGCATTTCAGCCAAGTGTCACTATGAGGATCCTGTTTTTGAACCTCCTTTTGTGTGTTACCATCTCCCACCCCTCTTGGTGGCCTTGGTGCTGATTCGAGCTATCCAGGAGGTCTCTCTGCTCATTTTGAGCATCGTCAAGCCTAGTCACAGAGAGCAGTGCCTGGACTCTCATTCATGCCATTATTTGCAGCATATGGGCATCATCATATGGAGGTTTCATATCCACTCCAACAGACTCGCAGCACAAGACAGCCTGGATACTAAGGCAGGTGGAGAAAGAAAGATCCATTCCTAGCCCCCAAAGTTAAATAAAGATGTGCACACCCACACACACTGTCCTAGCATCAATTTTTTATGAAAGAAAAGAGAACATAAGCCAATACAAGTATATTTTACATATGTTTAAAAAAGTCTTAATGCCTGCAGCACTATACATACTCTGGTATTTTAGGAGGTGGTTAGAACATTTTCTGCTCTTTTAAAAATTGAAATACACATTTTCAGAGAAGCCGAAATGTTTTGCAGTGACGCATTGATTTCAAAAAAGTTTGTAACATGCAAGGGTGAGCTGTCCAGTCTGATAGAGAAAGGGAGAGGAAGAGGAGCTAAAAACTTGATGATGAGCATTTTGGCACTGTTGCTTGCAAAAACATTCAAACGGTTTCGGTTTTGTTCCAGTGCAGAAAGAAAACAGATTTGTCAAACCTTTGGATGTTATTGCAACATGGAATTGTCCTCATCAGACCAACACTAAACGTAACGCATTCTCCTCCATTACATCCTATAGCACTCTACAGCCACACACATGAAATCCTAATGACGTGGTATCTTGTCCAAAGTAGCACTATTGCAAAAGCAATATTAGTCATAAAGACTCCAAGGATAACTCTGATCGCATCACATCCAAATGCAAGCTTCCAACTCCTTTCACAATCTAGGCAGCTTAAAAACTTTAAATCCCTTACTTAAAGATCAAACTCAGTAGGAACAGTTCTCTATCTTTAGAGTGGCTTATACTGACAAAAAGAGGCACTGGGGCTCTGAGTAGAGGGAACAGCCTTGCACATTGCTGTGTTTGTCTAAGCATGAGCAGGAACAGGAGTGCGCTTCCGCTGGTGTTTCTGGTGGCCGGTGTTTGACAGTGAAGGAGCGATGCACAGATCAAGATCAGAGGCCACAAACATTTATGAGCAAGTGGCTGGGGAGCAGCACACTGGTATAAGCACAAAAAGCCTTTCTCTGATGGCTCTGGAGGTCAGAGATTGCTCTTGCCAGTAGATGCTCTTATTAAACACCCACCCCATGATACAAAATCCCTTGTCCACAGTAATTGTGCTAGTGGCTTATTGAATCATAGAGAAGTAAGCCTGGAAAGGACCTCCAGAAGTCATCTAGCCCAGCCCCCTTACATTGCTCTGGTGAAAATATTTTACCTCGGATCCCAGCTGCAACTGCACTTTATAGCAGGGTGAATGTCCCCCTTCTCCTAGGATGTGCCCCCAAATGACTTTACATTTGAAAGTGAAGTATGTGCAAAGGTTTCCTTTTCTTCCTACTTGCAAAGCTCTGAGGTCATGGTTGTGTCTTTCCTTCATGTGAGTCCTTATACCTAACGCTGCGCTCTCCTGCACCCCCTCACCAGGTGTGGCCTACTAAAGATGACAGCAAATCCTCCAGGGAAAGTATCAAACCTTGAACTTGGGAGTTGGCAGCTAAGTCAAGAAGGTAGGAATATGTAAGGGTGAAGCCCTGAGGTTCAGAATTGCACCAAATCAGGCCCACGTTTGTAAAGAGTTTCTGAAAATTGTCATCTCTGTTCAGTGCTCCCAAAGTGCTCTTCTGCCAGCTTGGGGGAGCAGAGCCCTCCAGCCCCCAGATAGGGCAGCAGCGGCAGAAACACGTACCTGTGCTCTCTGCTGGAGTTTGGGCAGGGACAGATGGGAGCAGGGGATGGAGTTTTTCACACTGTTAGCACAGGCCATCAGGACCTGGCGTGAAACCCACCAATCCATTTCCCATGGATTATTCAGTAAGCATCAGGCAACCACGGCTTGGGCACCTCCAGCCTGGACTGGATTTGAACTGGCAAAAGCTCAGTGCAGTCTGAGCGCACCTTGATTCTGGAACCAATCCGTGATTGCAAACATTTTGCTTCTCACCTTCTCTTTTCCCCCGTCACTACAGTGTGGTGCAGTCCCTGGCCCCGTCACTTCTTGTCTCACACTGCTTACTGGGCCTGGGTCCAGTGAGGACAGGCTGGAGGGTAAAAGAGGAACCTAGGGCCCGCTTTTCCTCTGAGACCCACCTGAGCTTCTCTCTGTCTCTTCCCCACTGTGAGATCAATCGGGTCCGCTAAGATAAATGTTCTAAAATATCCATCTCTCCATCACTGCTAACAGCAACCAGCATTGTGGTAAAAATACCAGCTAGGCCAGGGAAATAGCAATCAAGGGATAGGGAATCTTGCTGCTAATCACTCTCCTGAATGGAGCAGGTGGTGGGCATATTGCTAAGTCTGCCTGCAGAAATGGAGATGCTTCAGCACGGTCACCACTATGCAGCAAAGAAACACAAGGCACATGATCAAATTAAGTTGGAAACCTCTGTGACCTGCAAGCATCCGGCAGGGAACATCCACTGCTACCAAGGACAATTGCTACCATTTTACTGGCCCCTCATTTTCAGAGTGGCACTGAGGAGGTGTTTGTGTGATACCTCTTCACTGCGGGTACACAGGGTGTTGCTATTGGAGGAAAGTCCACCCCTGCATTTAGTGGAGACTCTCTGCGAAGCACTGATGAGAAGCACAGAGGATTAGGGAGCACACCTATGTATCTTCTGCACTGGAAACACGAGAGAGGCAGGACAGGGAAACCTGAGTCAGCAGCCGCAGAGTAATGGAGTGATGTGCAGGTCGGGATGTTCATCTCCCAGGGATCCCAGGAGGGATGCAGCCTCTCCCCGACATGTCAGCATGGGGGCAACGGGGGCCATTGATTTCAGCAACAGTTTTCTTTTGAGGGCTGGGATGGAGATCATATAAATTCCCAACAGGACACATCCTTTTGTAGAGGCTGCACCAGTGGCTACTGCTGGGAACCCTAATGGCCCTTGGGCTCCAGGGTTTCGTAGGTCTCCTGATCCCGAGTGGTCAGCCCCTGTGAGAAGGAAGAGGGAGAGAAGGTAGAAGTGGATACAAGGATGACCAAGTCACTGGGAACCTTGCCTCATGGGGAGAGATCTATCGAGGGAGACATCATCATCTCTAAGCTCAACTGTGACATCCTGTAAACACCCCGCTGGCAGGTTTTTAGCCATGGAGGTGGCATTTTTGATACTTAGGCACAGTGTTACCTCTGCAGCCGGGACACGGTTACTGAGCCCACGCAACATGTGATGCCCTAGCCAGGCAGCATGCCATGATGTGCACATGCATCTGGTGCACAAGCCCAAGAAGCCGGGGGGAGGGTGGAAGGCAGGCAGGCAGGCAGGGAGTTGGGGGAAGGAGGCCCTCCTATGTTTCAGCTCCAGAAGCTGAGTGGTTAGGGCGCTTCACAGGTTCTAGCCTCCCTTCCCCAAAGTGGTTTGACTGCATCTCTCTAACTTCTCAGAGCAGCAATGTAACCACCAACCCCAACCCACGAGCTAACACTGTTCCCACACTCCTCTGGATGCCAAGCCACTGTGCCTTGCATCTCAGAGTCACTGAAGAAAGCAGGGCAGCAGTTTCTGTCCTCTGAGGGACAAGGGTTGAGACTCGAGGCCAGCTCCCTTCCAGAGCACAATAAGCAACTGGTAGGGGGAGCGCGGGGGGGGCATGCTCGCCACCTGCTCCCTCCGCTTTCTGCAGATGGTTGCCACTCAACACCCCACCACCAAGGCTGCCAGTCACAAACTGTGCCCCCCCCCAGTCTCAGGAGGCACCAGTCACCCTTGCAGAGCAGCCTCAGTGAGCCACAGACCCCCTAACTTGGTTGCTTCCTCCTGTTGCCCCCTGGATCTCTCTCTCACCCGTCCAGGGGGCAGTTCAATATCTGTGGGTCGAAGCGGTGCTGGGAAGTGTACAGAGTTTCAGCACTGAATAAACCTCAGACAACACTTCACCTTCACTGGGCTGCTGACTGCAAGCTCAAAATCCCAGCCCCTCCCAACGCCGCTGTGGATTTTCCCTCCAGGTCACTGTCTAGACCTGGAAAAGCCCCAATCTGCCTCGCTTAGTCCAGTCTCAAAGCAGCAGTGTGGGACTATCCCCTGCGTTATGCTCCCACCTGTGTTGTGGATGCTGTGGATGGGGGGGTGCAGTGGTACAGTAGTGCCCCCTTGGATTCCTGCTCCAGCCAAGCTTTAAAACCAACCGCCTGGGAGGACTGGCAGCATTTCTATTCAGGCAGCTGTGAGGGAGTCACTTGGTTTATTGTTATCTCCCTGATTCCTGCTAAGCTCTCCTCACTCCACAGGTGTTAACACCCTCTCTCTCTTTTGTAATGCTCTCACCGTTTCACGGTATGAACTATCCTTTCTTTTACAATTCGGCTGTCTGTCATCAGCCATGCCTGGTGATGTCTCTCTTCTATTTCACAGCCTGGCAGACTGCTTTGAGCTCCAGCTCAAAACCTTAACTTGGATGCAGTCACACTAACTCATGGGTGAAAACAGCTGATAGTGAAGCATGTCAAGGCCCTCAAGAAGACTAGATTTTTTTTTATGAATCTGAATAAGAGACATGCATCTAACCACAGGACTAATGAAACAGCATCTTTTGATGGGTTTTTTTGCCTAATTGTTTTTTTTTTTTAACTTAATATATAGCACAGGGGTAGCCAACCTGCAGCACACAGGTGCCACAAGTGGCATGGGCAGCCTCTGTGTGGGGCACGTGGCAGACTGGGGAGGAGACAGGCAGCACTATGGCAGATAGGGCAAGGAGCAGAACAGGCTGGCCTTACAGGTGGCCTTCCACTCACGCACACATGTGAACAGCCTGCACTCACAACAGAGCTCTGCCCTTCCCCTGCCCCTGCCCAGTGGATCCCCCCCCAGGCAGGAGGAGCAGTGCCCAGCCCAGTGTGCCCCCCACCTCCAGCTACTGCCCAGGAGGAGCCCGGTCAGGTGTGTGCAGGCAGCATAGCACCTGCTCCAGCCCACCCACCTTGCTCTCACACAACAGCAGTAGTGCCTGCCCACGGGGAAGCAAGTCTCCCATTCCAGCCCAGCAGCCCCAGTGCCATTTTCCCTAAAGCCGGCCCTGGAGCAGAAGGGGAAGGGACTGGAGTGGCACTCAGGGATGGTGCAGGGCTAATTTGTGGTATGGCTGCCAAAGAGATCCCCCCCGCCAACCGATCTAGCAAATGAGTGCATGTGCCAATACAGGTATATTTGGTTTTGCTTTGATCTTAAATGGAGTAATCTAGCGCAGGGCCCCTGGCATGTTAGTAAAGCTTTTAGTTTCCCTTTAACTGGAGAAAAACATGTGATGCTGCAGAATAGCATGTGTACCTAACAATCCTATATCCACCCATGGCACCATCACATCTGCATTTTGGTTATTACCCATCCAAGATCAATCAAAGCTGGCTTGCAATCCCTTCCCCGCTCTGTTTGCCACCACAGCCGCCTTCACCGCTTAGGTATGGCCTGAAATGCAGCTACTTTTGCATGGAAGAAGGAAGAGAAGCAGATTTTGGGTACTTACAGTATAGATCGCTTCCCCTTTTGTCTGCACAAAAAGAAAGAAAAAGAGACAAGTCAGGAGGAACGGGAGGAGAAACACCACAAAGCCCCTGCCCCTCGTGCGTTCCCACATGACATGCGGGTGAGCTCCCAAATGAGGCCTGGCCCCTGGAAACACCTTGACCTTTCCCCAGCTCCGCAGCTCAGCCCCCAACAGGAATTCATGATTGACCGACAATACGTCCCTGTGGCCTCCCTTCGCTCTTTCTCTCTCTGCAGAGCTGCCTCAGCACTCTGTGGCTTTGGCCGGAAGCAGAAGTAGAAATTTTGAGTTACCCTGGGCTAGTGACATTCGCCACGTTTGGTTTCTCAGCCCTCCTGCTCCTACCCCGCTCCCTCTCCCTCTCCTACACTGCTCTCCTGTCCTGCTTGGCACGCCTCACATGCCTGTACTTGGTGTCCCTGCCCCTTGTTAGCCACGTTGGACAGATGGAGCTCGTGCAGTTTTACTAAGACCCCAGTGCTTGGAGGCCCTTTGTCACATCTGTCTAATTCAATGATTTTCAATGGGATGCCAACTGCAGTGCCACCCAGCCTCTGCGCAAGGCAGTAAGTGCTCTCCTCCCCTGTCCTGCACCTTGCACCTGCCCCAGCAGTGCCTGTGGCTGCTTCTTTGAGGACTGCCACCCCCGGCACCCCCATGCTCTCAGCAGCGGTCTGCTGCAGGTAGGTGGGCGGACGTGAGGCTGGAGCCCCACTTTGCAGCCCAGCTTGTCCCCTCCACTCCTCCCGTGCTCCTGGGGACAACAGGAGAGACTGTGGGAGTGGTCCCCAAGGTGTGAGACCGTGCAAAAGCAGCCTCGTCAGTAGGGGCTGCCTTGTCCCCTGAGGTAGAGACCTGGGAGGGGGCAGACAGTGGAAAGAGCAGGGCATGCCCCCACTGCTCTTACCTGGCACCAGCTAGATCAGTGGCCCTTAACTTTCTTAGCCTCAAGGCTCCCTCTGTCTTTTCTGAATTTAGATCCCAGCTCCGTGATTGTCAGCTGGGGAGCTGCAAAATTCAGAAATGTTATGGAGGGGCCTTGAGGCTAGCAAGTTTGAGAACCACTGGTCATTTTGAACAACATCTCTCTGGCACGCAGGTGTCTGTAGTGTCACATGGTCTGTGGCCTCACCAGAGTCATGTGAAAGAAACTGGAGCTGCTCATCTCCATGATAGGAGGCATCTGTGTCGTGCAGATTAAAGTTATGTTTCTGCCCCTTGCCTTCCTATTGGCAATGGCACCTCCTATCTAGTTTCCTCTCTATTATCACTCCAAATTTATTTCTGTAGTGCAACTCCCTAGCATCTTCTAGCTCACTCAGTATCTGTACCTCCCACGATACTTTAGCCTGCACCAGGCCAGGAAATCTGTTATTTTTGTGGCCTCTCCGAGTGCCACGGCATTGTTTCTTTATCCTCTCCAGTGCTCACAGCTAGTCCCCATTTAGCACCTGCTACACCTTCTGCTATGAGCTTCCTGTCCTGAAACCCATGGTGAGAAAATGTCTTCTTGAAAAGGTTAATCTGATCTGTACAGTGCCTGGAAGTTAGTAGTAACTGTAATAAAGAATAAAATTAACAGCCACATGGGCAGATGAGACCT